TCAAAACTCACCCGAGCCCTCGGGGCTCCAAACCAAACATTCATATGATCTCGAAAACACCTTACGGACTTACTCGTGCGATCAAATCGCCAAAATAACATCATATACATAGGATCAAGCCTCATAATACATGATTTTCTTTCAACTTTCATAAAAACTCAAATACCCCATTTTAAGTCCGAAACACGTCATATGATGTCCGTTTTTAGCCAAACTTTACAGATAGTACTTAAAACATATTTAAGACTCGTACCGGGCGTCGTAACCAAAATACGAGCCCGATACCATAGTTTTCTGATCAATTTTCTTCTTCATTTTCCTTAATTAATTTCAGAAAATAATTTCACACAAAAATTCATTTCTCGGGCTTGGGACCTCGGAATTTAATTCCGGGCACACGTCCAAGTCCCATATTTTTCTACGGACCCTCCAGGACCGTCGAATCACAGGTCCGGGTCCGTTTACCCAAAATGTTGACCGAAGCCAACATTATGCATATTAATACCAAAATTCATCAAATATTTCACATAATTCACATATTCTAACGTAAAAACTTTCCGGCTACGCGCCCGAACTGTGCACGCCAATCGAGGCAACTAAAAGCGAGGTTTTCAAGGCCTCGGGAGCACGGAATAAGGAAGAATTACGGTGATGACCCCTTGAGTCGTCACAATAAAAGTAAGGATCTGTTGAAAGAGAAGATATAAAAAATTCTATAAAATGTTAAATGGTCAAAGTTTTAGTTGGAAAAGTAATACATAAAAGAATAATTTGACAAGATTTTTTTCTTCAAAAGAGGCAAGAATTCTAAAATATCGAGAAAGTGAAAAAGAAAATGGTTGGTTTAATTATTAGGTTACAACTTGTGTGATTCATGTTAAGGGCAATTTGATTAAATGAATTTCCAAACACAAAGGAAGTGAAGCAATTTCAAATCTTACGTATTTTCTGTATTTGTTGTATTGCCATCGTGAACCTCGAACGTACTGAAGTATATTTTACGTGCATTTACATTGAACATAGCAAGAAAATATATATATATATTCCTTTCTCTGCTTTTGCTCTTTATATAGCCCCACCAAAAATGATGAGAAACTTTGTCTTATCATGATTCATGCAAAACTTTAATGAAGAATATTCGTAAAAATTAAAGTACATAGGAATCCAATAAAAGTTGTTCATATCATAACCAAATTCAGCACATTCCAAAATTAATTATTAAATCCAAGACTATTTCCCATGCATAAAACCTTTAGTCATAAAATAATCTTAAATTAAACTTTAATGGCCACAGCAGGTTGAGGTGATGGAGTTCCACAATAACCACGTAGAATATCAACTTCCTCAGCAGTAAAACCAATGGAAGTAAGCATAGAAGGCCAACAGTTATAAGTAATAGTTCTAATAGCCTTACAACAATCTTTCCCTAAATAAGATTCGCCATTGAAGAAGAAAAGTATGATCTCATTCGTGCATGATTTTATCTCAAATAATGCATTCCAGCACACTGGCATGCTACCTTCTCCGAGTTGAAGTCTAGCAACAATGTCTTGTCCTAGTTTCATTTTGGACAAGTTTATTGCCGTTGTTGTTGTCAGAAGCCACGAGATTAAAAGTACTAATGGAAGTTTGAAAGGAGCCATGGATTGTTTTTTTTTCTTGAAATGTAGTGTAGAATATGTGTAGAGTGCGTTATGGTGAAGGAAATGAAGGTTTGGACATGGTGATTTATAGGTTGTAGAGTAAGCTATAGAGAGTGTAACTGATGTAAGTTGAAGGGGCAGAATTAATTAAGAATTTGATATACCTTTAATAAATTTAATTTATGAGTTAATATATGTGGAATGTGAAAAGTTAGAAATATAATCAAAGATTCATTTTGTCTGATAGAAATATTAATCAACGTAACGTTTTGGATAATTAAAAAAGGAATCCAATCATAGTACAGCTAGCTATGATCACCAAAAGGAATTATATGTGTAGATACCTAACTTAATTAATACTGTACTTATTTTAGACTAGTTCCAACCTAAACTAGTATTTTATCTCTGCCTATAATTGAAACGTCTTTTATAATATGATAGCACTTAAAATGTTAATATCTCAAACGGAGCTAAAAAATAGTACTAGTATTTTCACACTTTTCCTTTATTTCTTTTATTGCGTTGAGCAAAAGATATTTCAAATTTAGACATCACATATCTAAAAGAAAATCCACTGCAGAGGCAATCCAAATTCTAGCTTTAGTATTTTGAGCAAATTCTTGTACCTTTCTCTTTGCTACATAAAGTATAAAAATTTATTATATCATCTTAGTTTAACTACCAGCTAAGTCATAAAAGATTGAAACGAGAAAATTAATTAAAACCATTTGCTTTACTTAGATTTGTTTCTATAATTCATGGCCAACCAAATCAAGAACCTTCTCCCTCCCCACCCAATAATAAATAAAAGAAAAAACAAAAAGGGGAAGGGTGAGAATCAAAGCTCCAATTAAATTGAAAAGGAACCGATTCAAAGTTCCAACTGACGATAACTTTTGAAATCCCGCAAAAATGGGATGCGACAGATTCCTTTTTTTTTTATGGGAGAGATTCACCTAGAAAAGACTGCCCAAAATATTCTTCTTATATTATTCATTAGAGTGTATTCACTTGAAATAGTCTTTATTTATTATTGTTATTCCATTTTCATTTGAAAATTTCTGCATTGTTATTCTCGTTTTCTGGTGACTAGGGGATTATCGGCATCCGGTATGAACAGTTGAACACAAGATTCGTAACTTATGACCAGCCTGAGTGTTTGGTTTGACTTGAATCAAGAGTATAGTTTGGATTGGCCCATGTTAGATTGGATAGCAATCTGTTGAATTCGAGAAAAAATAAAAACTAACTAGATTTAAATTGGTAATTGAAAAATAGTCAAAGTTTCAAAAGTAATCGAAATTTAGACATTTTTCTTGTAAAGATAAAATTTGAACAAAAACACCCTTAAAAATACGGAAATATTCCAGCATAATATGCTGGAGTTCGAATTTTTTACATATGAGATTTCAGCATAATGTGCTGAAGTTCCAACATAATATTCTGGAAGTTTAAACGCAGGAGTTCCATATAAGGCTGTATTGTGGCCCGGGCCTGGCCCAGGACCGCGGGCCAAACGGGCTGGTTCAACCAGGCCTGGGCTCTAGTGGTGCAAAAGCTCGTGGTGGGCCAGTTCAACACAAATAGCCCGTGAACCCGGGACCGGCAGGCGGGCCTGGGCCGGTTCAACCGGGCCCAACAGGCCTAACAGGCTCCAACGGCTAATTTTAAAAAAAAGACCAACGGTCAGATTTTTAAAATCTAGCCGTTGGCCTTCAAAATCTATCCGTTGGGCACTTTAAAAAATAGCCATTTGGCCCCCAAACTTTGCTTTAACCCCAAACTT